TTTGTGGGGAACCAGGTTTCAGTTAAGTAAGGATACAAGGAATACATTAAATGAAAATGTTGTGACCATGTTATGGGATCTAAAATAAATAACCAGTTTAAATTTTTCAAAACCTTTTGCTCTAATTCTTAAAGTACTGTTTTCTCTTTCACTGTACCTCCCTCTTTGAGATTGATTTATTCATTCTAGAAATACCATTTAGCCCTAGTTATCTGCCAAGAATGGTGATGAATATCAAGGTGTATAGTGGTGACTACGTAAGTTCTTAAAATATGGATAGGAAATGTGGTAATCATGTTAGGTATATCTTAGCATTGTGTGAAGTATTTGGGAAGACGCAATTAGCTTGGCTTTCTTAGGGCAGTTTCAGAGCTTTTGCAAGTGGAACTTAGCCTGTTTATTGAATTAAAATAAAGAATGTAATTGGTTCAAATAGCAGTCTGTCTTGTAGATATCAAAAACTTCCTGTCAAAACCTACCATTATAATAGGATATAAGAGCATGATGGAGAACGGAATGGCAAACCACTTCAGTATTCTTGCCTTGAGAACCCTGTGAACAGTATGAAAAGGCAAGAAGATGTGACACTGAAAGATGAACTCCCCAGGTAGGTGCCCAGTATAGAAGAGTAGAGAAATAACTCCAGAAATGAAGAGATGGAGCAAAAGCGAAAACAATGCCCAGTTATGGATGGGACTGGTGATGGAATTAAGTCCAATGCTGTAAAGAACAATATTGCATAGGAATCTGGAATGTTAGGTCCATGAATCAAGGTAAATTGAAAGTGGTCAAACAGGAGATGGCAAGGGTGAACATCAACATTTTAGGAATCAGTGAACTAAATGGACTGGAATGGGTGAATTTAATTCAGATGACTATTATATCTACTACTGTTGGCAAAAATCCCTTAGAAGAAATGGAGTAGCCATCATAGTTAACAAGAGTCCAAAATGCAGTACTTGGGTGCAGTCTCAAAAAGGACAGAATGATCTCTGTTCAGTTCTAAGGGAAACCATTTAGTATCACAGTAATCCAAGTCTATGCCCCAACCACTAATGCCAAACAAGCTAAAGTTGAATGGTTCTGTGATGACCTACAAGACCTTCTAGAACTAACACCAAAAAAAGATGTCCTTTTCATTATAGGGGACTGGAATGCAAAAGTAGGAAGTCAAGAGATAAGCTGGAATAACACGCAAGTTTGGCCTTGGAGTACAAAATGAAGGAGGGCAAAGACTAACAGAGTTTTTCCAAGAGAACACTGGTCATAGCAAGCACCCTCTTTCAACAACATAATAGACAACTCTACACATGGACATCACCAGATGGTCAACACCGAAATCAGATTGATTATATTTTTTGCAGCCAAAGATGAAGAAGCTCTATATAGTCAGTAAAAACAAGGTCAAGAGCTAACTGTGGCTCATATTATGAACTCCTAATTACAAAATTCAGATTTAAATTGAAGAAAGTAGGGAAAACCACTAGACCATTCAGGTATGACCTAAATCAAATCACTTAAGATTATACAGTGGAAGTGAGAAATAGATTTAAGGGACTAGATCTGATAGACAGAGTGCCTGATGAACTATGGATGGAGGTTCGTGACATTGTACAGGAGGCAGTGATCAAGACCATCTCAAAGAAAAAGAAATGCAAAAGGCAAAATGGTTGTCTGAGGAGGCCTTACAAGTAGCTGAGAAAAGAGGCAAAAGGCAAAGGAGAAAAGGAAAGATATACCCATCTGAATGCAGAGTTCCAAAGAATAGCAAGGAGAGATAAGAAACCCTTCCTCAGTGATCAGTGCAAAGACATAGAGGAAAACAATAGAATGGGAAAGACTAGAGATCTCTCCAAGAAAATTAATGATACCAAGGGAATATTTCATGCAAAGATAGGCACAATAAAGGACAGAAATGGTATGGACCTAACAGAAGCAGAAAATACTAAGAAGAGGTGGCAAGAATACACAGAAGAACTGTACAAAAAAGATCTTCACGACCCAGGTAACCACAATGGTATGATCACTCAGCTAGAGCCAGACATCCTGGAATGTGAAGTCAAGAGGGCCTTTGGAAGCATCACTACGAACAAAGCTAGTGGAGGTGATGGAATTCCAGCAGAACTGTTTTAAGTCCTAAAAGATGATAATTAGCTAAAGTGCTGCACTCAGTATTCCAATAAATTTGGAAAACTCAGCAGTGGCCACAGGACTGGAAAAGGTCAGTTTTCATTCCAATCTCAAAGAAAGGCAGTGCCAAAGAATGTTTAAACTACCGCACAATTGCACTCATCTCACATGCTAGCAAACTACTGCTCAAAATTTTCTAAGTGATGCTTCAATAGGACATGAACTGAGAACTTCCAGATGTTCAAGCTGGATTTAGAAAAGGCAGAGGAACCAGAGATCAAATTGCCAACATCTGTTGGATCATCAAAAAAGCAAGAGAGTTCCAGAAAATCATCTACTTCTACTTTGTTGACTACCTCAAAGCCTTTGACTGTGTGGATCACAACAAACTGTGGAAAATCCTTCAAGAGATGGGAATACCAGGCCACCTGACCTGCCTCCTGAGAAATCTGTATGCAGGTCAAGAAGCAACAGTTAGAACTGGACATGGAACAACGGACTGGTTCCAAATTGGGGAAGGAGTCAAGGCTGTATATTGTCACCATGTTTATTTAACTTATATGCAGACTACATCATGTGAAATGCCATGCTTGATGAAGCGCAAGCTGGAATCAAGCTTGCCCGGAGAAATATCAATAACTTCAGATATGCAAATGACACCACTGTTTTAGCAGAAAGCAAAGAGTAACTAAAGAGCCTCTTGATGAAAGAGAAAGAGGAAAGTGAAAAACCCAGCTTAAAACTCAACATTCAGGAAACTAAGATCATGGCATTTGGTTCTATCACTTTATGGCAAATAGATGGGGAAACAATGTAAACAGTGGCTGACTTTATTTTCTTGGGCTCCAAAATCATTGCAGATGGTGACTGCAACCATGAAATTAAAAGATGCTTGCTCCTTGGAAGAAAAACTGTGACCAACCTAGACAGCATGTTAAAAAGTAGATACATTACCTTGCTGACAAAGGTCCTTATAGTCAAAGCCATGGTTTTTCCAGTAGTCATGTATGGATGTGAGAGTTGGACCATAAAGAAAGCTGAGCACCAAAAGATTGATGCCTTTGAACTGTGTTGGAAAAGACTTGAGAGTCCCTTGGACTGTAAGGAGATCATACCAGTCAATCCTAAAGGAAACCAGTTCTGAATATTCATTGGAAGGACTGATGCTGAAGCTGAAATTCCAATACATTGGATACCAAATGCGAAAGACTGACTGGAAAAGACCCTGATGCTGGGAAGGAATGAAGGCAGAAGGAGAAGGGGATGACAGAGTATGAGATGGTTGGAAGGCATCACTGACTTGCTGGACATGAGTTTGAGCAAGCCCTGGGAGTTGGTGATGGACAGGGAAGCCTGGTGTGCTGCAGTCTATGGGGTCCCCCAGAGTCGGACATGACTGAACAGAACTATTAAAAAGCATGATAAGATCTCAACAATGGCAGGAGCGTTCTCAACTTTTAGATCATTTTATCTGGGACCTAGGATAACACCTAGGATGTTTACCTTTTTTGTTCAGTTGTTATTTATTCATTTATTGGGCATATTTTTAACCAGGTGTGGCTGCACTGTACTCCACGCTAAGAATATAACAGATGACAAAAGAGATGGAGTCCTTGGTCTCATGGAGTTTATATTCTGTAAGAATAGTCACATTTGAGAACTTAATCAATGCCAGGGTCTGTGCTAGGTAGTTACATATATAACCCTCTGATAACCCTGCTAGGTACAGGATAACAGCTAGGAGGAAATCGAGACTGTGAGGTTGAAATTAGCAACCTCGGCTTTCCCAGTGGAGCACTGATGTGAAGTACGTGGAGCAAACCAAGCCACCTTGCTGCTTTCTGGCATCTGCTGAAAACTAACACAAACCCTCCACTGGAAAACTGAGTAAAGGAAAAGAACAATTTACAGTAAAAAATTCAAAAAATGTTCACTTTCAAAGAAATAAAAACTTAAGTAATGAGAGACTCTTACCACCTATCAAAGTAAAGCATGTTTTTGATGTAATATTCATTATATGAGTCAAGTGGTCTCAAGTTCTGCTATTAGGAGTATATTTTTTTGAATACCCATTCTGAAAAACAGTATTTATCAAGAGCCTTAAATGTTTATACCTTTTAACCATTTAATTACTTTCAAGGTATCTATCCTAAATAGCTAAAGACTCAGATTATATTATTTCCAAAATGTTTATAACATTGTTTGTATTGGGAAAACTTAAAAATAAAGGCCAATCTAAGTGACAATGTTATACTACCATTAAAAAGTATTATTTTGTAATTCATTTAGAGATGTGGAAAATGTTTTCAATAAACTTTACATTTGAAGAAACAAAGTAAAACTTTGTATGTAATATCACAATTGTATAAAAGACATATATGTATACATGGACAGATGTATTAATTCAGAATACACTCATAAACTGGAAAAAATAAAAATATTGAGAGTGATTATTTTTAGGTAATTATGTAGAGATCATCTCTATTTGTAACTTCATATATTTTCCAAATTCTCTAAAATGGACCTCTGTTACAGTTATGATTTTTTTTTTAAAGAAAAATATTTCTGTTCTTTTTCTTACCTTTGTTTGACTCCTACATCTGGAATAGAAATTAAGGTAGGATAGAGGTTGTCAAGAGGTGATTCCAATCCAGTTTTCAAGACTGTTCTTAGAGAACTGAAAATGCATTTCTTTTCATAAATAAGCAATCATAAAAACAAGAAGCACATTATTTCTGTGATTTACTGCATATCTTAAGGTTAATATGAGATACCAGATTTACATAATTTTATGTTTGAGGTATATTTCAGTCATTTTGTTTGAGAACACACAGATACATACATGACAGGAGTATTTTATTTCTTTACAGGTTTTACAACTGCCTACAACATGCTTTGGAAAAAGAAACTGTTTCTGCAACCTCACATCCTAAAGAGAAAGTTAACTCACCATATATTCGTAAAAAAAAAAGGAACCCAGAAAAAGCACATGGCAAACGTGTTAGTGAAGAAAATGATAAAGAACTTGAAAATAATGACCATGATGATCCAGGAATCAGTGTTACTATCTTCTCTGAAGATTACTGAGATTTGGTTCGGAAATGTCTTGGTAGAGTGATGTTTCTAATAGATATTATAAAGCTGCTCTTAATAAGAGTTTGTTGAGTGTATCAGACTTTCAGAAAAGCAAGATTTAACTTTTCTCTGTATTTTAGAGAAACTTAACTTTTAAAAACAACTCTGTATAATATTTGCTCTTATATACTATCTTTTTTAATCACATAGTCATTGCAAAAATAAAATTATGATTTTTTAATCCCTCAAGTTTCAGTGTCTACTTCAAAACAGAACTATAATACCCTTTCACAGAAACCTTAACATTAGGAATATTTGAGTAAAAATCATAACAACATTTTTCTTAGTTTTCACTTTGAAATCAAGAGCTTTCAAGGGGATCACTTTGCTGCTTATTTTCCTGGAGTCCAAGGACAGGATCTTTCCTCTCTTTAGACTCTGAATAAAACAACTGATATCTTTTTTGTTCAGGACAAAATACTTACACCTTCTTTCCCCATTATTTCTCATAAACCAGAGCTTGCCACTGGCACAGCCTCTGTGGAACAGGTGGGTATAGTTTTTCACTATACTTGGTCAGAAATGATAACTTAACACACAGGAATCTCAATAAACACATGTGCTATGACAAACTGCAAAGAATCGGAAGACTTGGTTTGAGTTCTGACTGCGACAGAGAAGTTGGAGGTCCTTAAGCAAATCAGTTTCCAAGGGCTTCCATTTCCTCTTCTGCATAATAGTAATTCTAATCCCTTCCATATTTACACCAAAGGAGTGCTGACATCTAAGTTAAATAAAAATGTGAAAGCACTTAATAGACCATTTTGCATATATATTACTATTTATTTTCACTATAAATTGAAGATTTTTAACAATGTATTTTCAGAATATCAAATCATAAAAAAATATATTTAAAAAGCAGTACTAGTTAGTCATAGAGCTAATAAATTGAAAGACAAAAACACCAGAATATCAAATAAAAAGTATATGAGGTAGTCAACACTGAGTTGTGGTTTTGGCATTTCCTAATATTTTAATAATTTATCTAATTCTTTATATAAATTATTTTTAGATTTGCATCACTTTCCTTTGTTTTCCTTCTGAAAAATACCATTTTATACTCTCATTTTATGGAGAAGGCAATGACACCCCACTCCAGTGCTCTTGCCTGGAAAATCCCATGGATGGAGGAGCCTGGTAGGCTGCAGTCCATGGGGTCGCTAACAGTGAGAGATGACTGAGCAACTTCACTTTCACTTTTCACTTTCATGCATTGGAGAAGGAAATGGCAACCCACTCCAGTGTTCTTGCCTGGAGAATCCCAGGGACGGGGAGCCTGGTGGGCTGCCGTCTATGGAGTCGCACAGAGTCGGACACGACTGAAGTGACTTAGCAGTAGCAGCAGTACTCTCATTTTAAAAGTTGATCAACTTGATAACTATCTGCTATCATCTAAAATTTGTCAGGGATGGGATCCAGGAAGCTCCAAAGTTACTGTGAGATTTTTCTTTATTCCTCTTTTCTATTTTTTAAAAAAATATTCTTTCTTAAATTTTACTGAAGTATAGTAGATTTACAATGTTGTGTTAATTTCTGCTGTATTCATCCTAAATGTAACGGTTTGCCTCTGTTAATCCTAAACTTCCAGTCCTTCCCTCCCTCACCCCTCTCCCCCTTGGCAACCACAAATCTGTTCTCCATTTATGAGTCTATTTCTGTTTCATAGATAGTTCATTTGTGTCATCATCTCAATTCCACATATAAGTGATATCACATGGTATTTGTCTTTTTTCCCTCACTTAGAATGAAAATCTCTAGGTCCATCCCTGTTGCTGCAAATGGTATTTCATTCATCATGGCTGAGTAATACTCTATCGTCTGTATGTACCAAACCAAATCTTTATGCATCTGTCTGTCAATGGACATTTAGGTCGTTTCCATGTCTTGGCTGTTGTAAATAGTGCTGTTATGAACATAGGAGTGACTGTATCTTCAAATTATAGTTTTGTCTGGATATAGGCCAAGTTTACTCCTTTTTATTTTTTCTGTGACAGCTCTGAACTCTCTCTTTGGCCTTTAAAGTAAGAGCTAATATTTCCTTTAGTCATTTTGAGTCCTCCATCTCCTTGCCATCCTGCAGCACTTGGCCTGTTAACACTCTTATCCCTGAATTTGCCCTTTCATCAGCATCCTGAATGCTTTCTTCTCAGTCATTTCCCTATTTATAATCTTTCTCAGTTCTTTTTCTCTCCAACCTTTTAACATTTTCCAACATTTCTTGCACTTTAGAATCATGTTTAGAACCTTGAAAAAACACAAAAAAGAGAAAGTCCAGGGATAAGGACATTTTTTTTTCTTTAATCTCCCAAGTTGTTTTCTAGTTGGAAACCAAAGGGTAATGACATTGTGCGTGTGTGCGTGCTAAGTGTCTGACTTAGTCGTGTCTGACTCTGTGACACCATGGACTGTAGCCTGCCAGATCCCTCTGTCCGTGGGATTTTCCACACAAGAATACTGGAGCAAGTTGCCATGCCCTCCTCCAGGGGATCTTCCCGACTCAGGGAGCAAACTCACATCTCTTTATGTGTCTTGCATTGGGAGGTAGGTTCTTTACCATTAGCACCACCTGGGAAGCCCCAGTGACAATGTAGGCATTCCCAAGTTTGTCTCTGGCCTTCATCTTGTATTCCTGTCTGCACCCCAGCTAAACTCATCCATCCCAGTAGCCTTGCCTTCTGAGACAGTGACTTGGGCGTCTCCTGGCCTGGTGTGTCTCCTGCACTCTGAATAACTGCTGGGCCTCTACTTTTCAGAACTTTTCTCTCATTTGACTATTTCCTGGTTCTTTGCTAGAGAAAGCAGACTTTTGTGGTGTTCTTTTGTTCGTTTGTGCCCACCTGCATTTCCAGGTTGCTGGCTTTTCTAGTGTCCAGTCTGGGATACGTGAGGTAAAGAGAAAAGCCAGGGAACTCGTGACTGTGTTGTTCTTTAGGTTCCCAAATCCCTAGCTGGTCTACCTTTCCCTTGTCACTTCTCAGAGTCTTCTTGTGTTTGTTTTATATGTAGTGTCCAGAGGTTTTATTTTTTGGCCATGCTGTGTGGCTTATGGGATCTTACTTCCCTGGCCAGGGATTGAACCTGGGGCCCCTTTTTCAGTGAAATTGCTGAGTCCTAATCACTGGACATCCAGGGAATTCCCTATGCAGAGTTTTTAGCTGCATTTAGTGGAAGGAATAGGAAACAGTGTATCTACTTCATCTTTGAGAATCAGAAGTCTAATGTATTTTTATAATTAATGATGATATCACACCGTGGGGTACTCTTGAGGATAGCTTTTGGAACCCATCAAGATAGCCACAGCTCCCTCGACTTAGTACTGGCCCTTGTCTCCCAGTTTGTATGCTTTGCTGCTCTTGCTTTAGGCTGCTGCAACCTCTTCATTCTAAAGTACAGGGAACAAATGCCTGGAAGTCTATTTCCTGTCCTTTACCCTCCACCCTCACCACAAACATACCCCCTGTCTCACGGCCAATAATGACAAGTACAGAGCTTCAAAAGACAATTCTGTTGCCCAGAAATGGGATAAACTTGGATGTGCAATTGCCATTTAAGCTCCCCATCAGGCTGAGGTTTGGACTTCACCTGAACCCTATCATATTTTTCCCAGTCCCTTCCCCGTTTCCCCTGGGAGCTCCTGCTTAATAAATCACTTGCACTAGAATGGTGTCTTCTGCAAAACCTGACCTAAGACAGATATTGGGAGTATTTTGGCTGTATATTAGAAAGTGATGGCATACATTTATTATAAAGAGCTGATGTTTTAATGTGTTAGAAATTATATCATTGGTAGTGATTTAAACTTATACAATGCAAATAAATTTTTTTATATTAGGTACAGAGTTTTAAAAATTCTTTGGGGGTAAACATCTAGCCAACAATATTTGAGGATCACTGCTATAATACATACTCTTAAAAGAACTTAGAGTATGACCGGGATGGGGAATACATGTAAAAAAAAATTAATTAATTAATTAAAAAAAAAAAAAAAGAACTTAGAGTAAAGTAAGTCAGACCAAGGCAAATACAATATCATGATATTGCTTATGTGTGGAATCTTTAAAAAGGCTACAAAAGAATTTATCTACAAAACAGAAATAGAGTTACAGATGAAAAAAGTAAACTTATGGTTACTGATGGGTAAGGAGAAGAGGGATAAATTGAAGACTGGGATTGACACATACATACTGCTATATATAGAATAGATAACTAATAAGGACCTGCTTATGGCATAGGGAATAGATAACTAATAAGGACCTGCTTATGGCACAGGGAATAGATAACTAATAAGGACCTGCTTATGGCACAGGGAACTCTACTCAATGTTCTGTAATGGCCTATATGGGAAAAGAATCTAAAAAAGTGGATATGTATAGATATATGTATATCTGTATATTATATATATGTACAAGAGAGAGAAGTCGCTCAGTTGTGTCCAACTCTTTGTGGCCCCATAGACTGTAGCCTACCTGGCTCCTCGGTCCATGGGATTTTCCAGGCATGAATACTGGAGTGGGCTGCCATTCCCTTCTCCAATATATATGTATGGATATATGTATGAATTCACTTTGCTGTACGCCTGAAACAAACAAGATTGTAAATCAGTTATACGCCAATAAAAATTTAAATGAAAAATTTTAATCCTATATTAAAAAAAAAAAGAACATAGAGACAGGAATAATGGATTCTAGGCAAGGAAATACTACAAGTCCAATTCAAGGGGATACCATTTTGTTTAGGTTTTAAAGGCCAAGAAACAAGTTCACGTGACAGACAAAATCCAAGAAAAATTCCTATTGTCAAAAGGAATGTGTGTATAATTGAGACACCAAAGGACATGATATATTCAGTGATGGTAAACATTCCATTAAAGCTGACATACAACATGTGGTATGAAATGAGTCAAGCTGGTTGAAAAGCAACCATGCTAGGCCATGGAGGTAGACCAGTGCTTG